TTCGGGCAGCGGCCGCGGGACTGAGGCCGCGCCGGGGCGGCAAGCCTCACTCAGTGAGTCGCGGCCGCCGGGCCCCCGGCCGGGCACTTCCGCCGGGCCCGGCTCAGTGCCATGCGGCCACTGGCCCGGCCAATCCGATTCGGCGGTCCCGGGCCGGTCGGTCTGACCGCCGATACTAGCTACCACCGCCTACGTAGTACCGCGGCGTGACGGTGCCGGGCATCACGGTGCAATGCAGGGGCTCTGTTAATCGCCCTGTTACACAGCCTGAGAGTACTGAGAGAAAATGATGGTGGTACTACTGCTTATAATCTACTATTCTTGTAACAGGCTGTAAAACGGAGTAACAGAACTTATCGGAAAGGCGACCGTGACCACAAGCCAGAGACATACCTTGAATGCAAGGGGTCTCCGGACTCTGCAGTAAAGTAGCTGCTGCACGGATACCACCCCTACCCACTCTTTTCATTTGTGAAACACCCACACCTTTGGTTCGCAGTTATCTACTTTTCTATGATCAGCCGCGGAAGATCTGAAACATCCCTTGTTGGGATATGTCAGATTTGAAACGCTGTATCTCTGGTCGTTACAACCCTTTCCGTGACCGGAAATGATCGCGAAGAAGCAATGTTTCGTTCCGAGATTCAATCCTCGATGAGTAAACATTTGTACTCTCAGTTTTCTCATATCAAGATATATGGGTGGGGGTTACCACCCTCTTACTACTTACCCTATCAATATTTTGTGTACCCCAAATTTCAGATGGTAATACCCACCCCTCTCATGGGTATTGGAATGGTTTGAAATAGACTACCCTATTATCACCACCCCATGGGGTTTTAGAAGTACCATGTCGGCGATGCACTCCATAAAAGATATCTCCCCTTTTGACCCTTCCAGGGAGACGATTTGAGCAGTATACTGCTGCCGCTGCCCGTCCTCCGTCGCCTCCATCTCGGAATCTCCTCTCGTCTGCTCTGATCTCGTAGTCTCCTGCAGCTCTTCCTTTACCTTCCTTCCAATCTACCCCAGGCTGTGGAAATTCGACCCGTCATTACTGTAAACTGCTGCGAAGATGAAGAAGTTTGTTAGCTGCCTAGACCTCGAGAGGATTGAAACCGATGGCACTTCCAAGAATGATACATCTCTCGTCAGAAATAGCTCCCGTTCGTCTTCACTTTCCGACGCATCCACCATCTGTTCCTGTGGCACAGCAGGAGATCTGCATCAATTCGTTCATCCTACCATGGACCAGATCGTTGTTGATAAGAAGCACAGGTTCCACGTGCACGAAATCAGAGCAGCCGCCTCGGAGATCGAGCAAGAAGCCGAGCAAGAAGCGCAATCGCCGCACCCATTGAGGCAGCAGTCGATGCCGTCCAAGGCTGAAATGTACTTCTTCCACGAGCTCAGTCAAAGTCTCTGCCGCTCGGAAGCTGCGGATTGGTTTGCCTCGCAGGTGCTCAAGGGGCGAACTTCGAGCAGCCCGGAGATGGCTAGAGAAGTTCAGGGGATGAAGAGGAATTCCTCTATGGCCACTTTCAGCTTCTCTGGGAGGAGATGTGACTAGAACCGATTTCAGAGTGACAAGAAAGTGATCGATGAAGGATTGGAATTGTTTTATGTAAGGGAGGTCTTTACTGCCTTGTATCCATATTCAAATTGAACTTTAAGGTTGTGACGTATACACCTTACAGTCTTCAACATCTTAAACATGAAAATTATTGAATCTGCAAACTTTACATTGTTTTGCAATTGTCACAAGTACTTTTTCCTCTGAACATAATGATTTCATTCCTGCCCTTAAGTTCTTTCTCTTTAATGTTAAATACACCGTCTCTTTGTACAAAAATCTAGATTGCCATCTTGGGGACAACTCGTAACTATAAAACTCTGTTCCGTCCAACAATTGTTGGCGTCAGAACTGGCGGTCAAATATTTTTGTTTCACATCCTTGACCTTCTCCTGGAACAGCGTTAGTTAATCAGTCTAAGACAAGAAAGACACGTTTGCACGATATGCAAAGTCAGACAGCAGAGCATCACATCACCTGGTTCTATTGATGATCAACAATCCCAGAATGATCGCAATCACAGCAATGAGCAGGACAACGATGTTGCCCATGAACTGCGGAGTAACGGTGAGATTGCGAGGTATGAGAGAACGTCTCACAAAGTAGTTCCCTGAAGGCAACAGCGACACATCTGCCTTCACTCGGGTCTCTACAAGCTCTTGCGCTGCGTTGAGCATCAGCAGATGCCGCTACCGAGATCGAGCGGGGTCACCTTTGCCTCGCATCGAGAAATGTGGTTCTTGTATCTGTAAAATTTGAAATTTTGAGTCAGATATCATGTTGGTGAGCTAAAATTGGAGCAAGGTAGTGAAATGTCTCAATCCCACCGGTCCGAGTGCTGGCTTTCCGGCAATGCAAACGAGATCGATACAATATCTCGACCCCTTGTTGTCTGCACCAGAGTTTGCAAAGGGAGAAACACAGGTGTTGGATAAACATCACAGGAAGTAGGACAAACATCACAGGAAGTAGGACAAGCATCACAGGAAGTAGGACAAACATCACAAGGAAGTAGGACAAACATCAGATGGAAGTAGGACAAACATCACAAGGAAGTAGGACAAGCAACTCGGCAGGAAGGACAAACCTGGGAGATTGTGGCCTAGATGGGTTCCGCAGACCGATCGCACTTCACCATCTTGCTCGACAACAACGTTCTGACGGTTGTGCGATGAGACATCAAATGAGCGAGGATAGGAGATCTCACCTCCCGCACCACTTCAGCATCTCTGCAAATCATTCGTCATGACACCAGATCAAAGGCGAGATATAAGACATGAAACAAGGCTAGATGTACACATCCTGATCTAGATGCGATACAAGAGACAAGACTAGATGCAGTACAAGAGACAAGACTAGATGCAGTACAAGAGACAAGACTAGATGCAGTACAAGAGACAAGACTAGATGCAGTACATGCAGTACAAGAGACAAGACTAGATTTGATACAAGAGGTAAGACTAGATCCGATACAAGAGGTAAGACTAGATCCGATAAAAGAGGTAAGACTAGATGCGATACAAGAGACAAGACTAGATGCGATACAAGAGACAAGACAAGTTGTGATAAATGTTCACCTGAACGAAGGCCAACCATGTGCCAGGCTCTCACTGTACCACTCCTGCATGCTCCTACAGCAGGAGTGTCGGTCGTTCCTGCCTGCGCAAGAAGGAAGGCGTACCTTCCGATGGGAGCCCGGAACAGGGGAACGCCGCACACAGAGTCCTGGGCCATCTTGACGTCAATGAGAAAAAGTCTGTTAAAATCGCATCACATAGAAGGTGTGATATTTCTCCTCGGGCTGGAACTGCCCGAACAAGTTGATGTTTGCGTTGTTAAAGTAGCCTGATCACAACTATCATGCACTGACCCCTCCTCGTGCCTCTCCATCACTGGCAAACCTGAAGGCTCCGCATATTTCTTGTTGTGACAGCATATTTTGTTTGCCAGCTCCCAGTCTGCCTTGGTTCCAAACCTCAGGTCCTGCATTACCTGGTCCGCGCGGTCAAGCATCGCCTCACGCCTCTCTCCTCCATCTCACAGGAGCATCGCAGAAGCCCCGGAGAGCACTGTTTCGATCCGAAGCTCCCAGGGCGACCATGGAAAGGAACTGCCCCTCGCATGTCAGCTACGACCGCCCCGCACAACCATGCTGGCCACAGCTCTACTTTGCCCATGTTTCTGCGTACTACTCCAGTCCTCCATCATTTCTTCTTCTCACGCCTTCTGAACCGATTGTTGTCCCATTCTCTTCTCATCATACTCTGTTCTTCATTTCCTTGGCTTTCCAGCCACCCAGTCCTCCTCCAACAGCATCTCTCATCCTACTCTTCTTCAGAGCCTCACTGACTCTATCTCATCATCATTGTCTTCTTGATCATCATCATATCAATCTCACATGCCAGTCTCTTTCCCTCACCATCAGCGCCGATGTCGCTTTCCCAAGAGGCGCCATGCCGTGAGGGGGGGGTACAATACAGGGCGGGCCTGTAATAAGCGGGCCCGGGAGGCCCGGGTAGGACCGGGCAACACCGCACCAACAGCTAGGTGGCGTGACACAAAGAGTCCTCTAAAGAGCAAAGACCGTTGGGAGGGAGGGGAGGGGAGGGGAGGGGAGGGGAGAGGAGAGGAGAGGAGAGGAGAGGAGAGGAGAGGGGAGGGGAGGGGAGGGGAGGGGAGCAGGACAGAGCAGATCAGAGCAAGATGGGAGGGTAAAATTGGTGGAGCAAGGAGTCGAGAGGAGAGGAGTCCTCGTAAGGGAAGGGACTAGAGGAGAAGTGTGATCAGGGCAGCTTAATTTGTTTCTGTGTTGCTGACATGCTGACTCGATGTAAAGGTCCGAAATTCAGTTGGATGCTTTGAAGTATGAACAGATGAGAAAGTTTGAGTACGACTCGTTAATTCAATCTCATCTCAAACCGCATGTACGGTTCTCTGGACAGAAGTTTTCGCTCCTTACCAAGTTTCTGTCTCACAGGCCTTTGGTAGTTGGCAAGAAGGGCTGTATCGATGGGATCACAATCAAGTTGTGCCATCGCATACAACACCGCCGAGTTCTTGTCGCGTTGTTTGCAGGCATCAGCAACAGTCATCCATGATTGCAGACGACAAGTGTGTGTCGATATCCTACGATGGGAAGCTTGTAGAGGAAGCGAGGCAGGAGGACACGAGAAGGTACTGGTGGGGAATGTCGAGCAGAGAAGTTCCTTGCTCGAGTAGAAGGTGATAGCTGACGCAAGAAGTCCAGGGTTGACATGTTGGACAGGATGATTGACTGTGCTAGCATATCTACCTACGCGCCCTTCCTTCTCGCTCAATCTCGTCTCTACAAACAGCTGCCATGGAGTAAGAGATCGTTGTTATCTTGTGTCCATGATGGGCCTGATGTGTTTCCAAGGAGTATGGTCGAAGAGCGTGAAGCTGAATTTAGCAGAGTTCTGTGGAGATTATCATGTGAATCTGTGGAGCAACAAGCAGGAAGGTTGCTACAGGTTGCAATCAGGACCTCGAGGATACTTGAGTGGTGATGCTGCTGATAGCAAGCATGTTGAACAACAAGGATGTCTAACTTGATCATATCAGGTCATGGGTTGTCATTCTGGTTGTTTGCGATGGATGTGATTTGAAGGAAATTCTCTAACTTGTTTGCTCACAGCGTCAAAGTTGCAAGCAATGTAGATGTGAAGGTGTGAGAGATGGATGTGTAAGAGTGACACTGATGTTGTAAGAAGCTCAACGCTCTCTGTTTGGGATCTTCTTCTGGCGGTGCGAACATCCCGCAGGCATGTTCACTTGAGACAGAAGAGGAGAGGGGAGGGGAGGAGAGGAGAGGAGAGGAGAGGAGAGGAGAGGAGAGGAGAGGAGAGGAGAGGAGAGGAGAGGAGGGGAGGGGAGAGGAGAGGAGAGGAGAGGAGAGGAGAGGAGGGGAGGGGAGGGGAGAGGAGAGGAGAGGAGAGAGGAAGGAAGAGAGGGGGATGGAAGGAGGGTAGAGAGATTGATCAGAGGAAGGAAGAGAGGGGGATGGAAGGAGGGTAGAGAGAGGGAGCAGAGAGGATAAATATGTAAAAGATTGTCATCAGCATGTCAAGATCTATGCCAAACTTGGTGTTGGCCTTGTCCCCACAGGAGAAGAGGTGACGGGATGTTAGGAAAGATGGCGAACATACTGAAAGTTTTCTTCAGGATGGCTGGACGTGTGTCTGTTCATCAGATGACTGTTTTCTCCCTCCTTTCGACATGCCAAGTCCTACCACGAGCCCTCTGGCGTCTTCAGACTTGGAAGGAAACGAAGCAAAGAAAAGAGCTGCGGCGTCAGATAGCAACGAAGCATGTGAAGGTCTTGCTCCTTGTTCTGTTCCTTTTCTTCTCTCCTCTCCTCTTTCTTGTTCCTTTTTCTTGCCCCGTACTCTGTGTTCATTACAAAAATTTTGCGCTCATGGAAAAGTTTCTTTCTTTTTTTATCCATATTCCTGGTGTTCTTTGTTGTTTCTTCTTTGTTGTTTCTTCTTTGTCTTCTAACAGAGTTTTCAGAGCATCGAACGGAACTTCTTCGATTGACATTCAATCGCGAGGTAGGCTCTGGCTTCCTTGTTCCCCTCGTTTTCTCTTTACCTTCCTCCTCCCTTCCATCTCCCCTCCATCAACATTATGATCAATTCTTTTGCTCTCTGTTGCTTTCAGTCTGTATTGATTTTGTTGTTTGCCTTCATTGATCATGTTCATGTTCCTCTATTCTCTTGAATTTCTGTTCATAATATTCTGTTTGCCGGTCTCTTTGTCCTCTCGCCCTCCCTAATCTGCATTTCCTCCACGTTCTCGTCTGACTTCTCTCCTCTGCTCTCCTCCTCTCTCCTCCCCTCCCCTCTGCTCTGCTCTGCTCTGCTCTGCTCTGCTCTGCTCTCCTCTCCTCTCCTCTACTCGCCATCATACTGCCATGTCAGCTCGTGATAGCACGAGGCAGCACCTTGCGCCTCCTTCTCCTCTCCTCTTCTGCCCATGGCATTGCCCTGAGGACCCATCAGTGAGTTTTTCGCTCCTCCTCCACCCTCACAAAGTTTCTCATCATCTCAACCAGGCAAACAAGTCAAGTGCAAGTTACAGACTATGATGACACGTACTGGATGCTCCTTCCCTGCGTCCTCGTCCTCGTCCTCTTCTTCCTCCTTTTCCTTCTCCTCCTCGTCCTCCATCTTCTCTGCCTACTTCACCATCTTATTCTGCCCGTGCTCCTGGTCCTGGTCCTGATCGTGCTCCTGTTCTCTTCCCACATTCACTTCTCTCCTCTTTGTTTCAATCCTGACATCTTTGTGGTCATACAGAATTTGCCTGTTTGCTGGGAGACTGGCGAATGGTCATGATCCTTTTACAAGTACAAGAAAAATTCTAGGTGTGAATGGAAAGTGAAAATCAGAGGAACGTTACTCATGTTCGTACAGGTTTTGAGGTGAAGTCCAGTAGGAGACATGAAGTAAGTTGGGTTGTCAGATAAGAATTTGATGCTGATCTCGTTTGTTGCAGAATGAAGTTGATCGATCGATGAAAGTGTCAAGATATGATGAGAGAAAAACAAGGTGAAAGTTGAATACCTTCCACGAAAACTCACTGATGAGAGAGCTCGCAGGTCAATCGCGTCTGCTATTGGAGGTCAGATTGTCGGGTTTGCAGGAGGTGTTGAGTATGAAGTACTTTCGAGATGAGATTGAAAGATTAT